CCACTGCCTAAACAAATAAACGTATAGAATAAAATATGCAACGACGGGGGCGGTAAAAAAAAAAAGCAGAACAAAACATGTATTTGGCAGGACTTTAGCTGCAAATAAGGAAGTGCACCGTTTATGGGAGTGGATCTACCTGCAGGTCACTTTGACTTTTTAGAGTATTTTAACACTGGAAACACTGCTGTGTGTTTTTGATGGATTCCAAAATGCTTCAGTGTATCGTTTTCTGAATCATCTCCCAGTAGATCAATATCCAAACACTTAAGAAGAACTCTAAAACCAAATATTCTCACATCTTTTTCGCTCATTTTTCATCCACTGGAGAAACAACTACTGCTTTTTTAGATATACATATATATGTATTAGTTTTAGTTCAGTGTTTCTGTTCCCTACAGATTTCTTTAAGAGGGTCCCGGTTCACTAGACTGCTAAACAGTCAACAACAAACAGGTACGTAAATAATTTGGTATATTTAAAATACAGCCCCAGAAGCAAACGCAAATAAAAGCGCTGCCACTCAAACGAGTAAAATTATATTGAAATGTCAAACTCGACTTACCATTTTTGTTCGCTGCAAGAATGTCGGCTTGAATATACTGGAGAACATCCATATCCCATTGTTAAAAAAATAAAGAAGCAACTTTTCTTACTTGCAATGAGTCACAATTGTCAAGGACAGCAGCCTATATGGAGGAAATATATTGCTCTGCTGTGTTTACCCACACCATCCCTAAATAAGAGCCCTGTCTTGTTGGAAAAGGGGCTTTTAAATGTGGATGTGCTTCGCTCGCCTATAATCCAGCCGAGACATTACTCCTTCCCCTGGCAGACGTCCGCAGATCCCCCCTCTCTCCCAGCCAGGCCTTGCTCTCCGCTGCTATGGCAGAGCCGCAATAACTGCTGTTTGCTTAGAGCCTTGCCTCCCAAGTTCTCCTCTGTCACACTGAAATTGAATATTTTCCCAAATAGTGTTGCAGCTGTGCACAGATAAGGACAAGTCCTGTTCACATAGCACAAAAATGAGACTGTGTGTGAGTGTGTGTGTGAGTGTGTGTGAGTGAGTGTGTGTGTGTGTGTTTCAACCTTCTTCAAATTACAATAGGAATAAATGTAACAACTTATATATAAAAGCATCAAAAATAACCACAATGTCAGGTCTGAAAATTAAGACAAAATATTTTTAAATAATAAAAAAAAACACAATTTATTTGCAATCTCGCTTTTTATACCTCTAGAGATTAATATAAAAATGTTTTTTTTTTAAATCACAATTTGTTGATCAAATTTCCACCCAGTGATCTCTTGGCAGAATTTTCTTTCACTTCTCTGAGTGACCTAAACACACGTTGCTAATACGAGCAGTGTTTTGAACACATTGTAAAAAAAGGCAAACAGAACGGCGTGCTACGCCCAGTCATCTTGTGACCAGAGGACACACAAAAAAGGAGATTTTATGACCCAGTTTTGCACTTTGCACGGCCTTATCTCCAAATACCTTTCATAAAAAGAGATGCCAGATAAGCTAAGGGAGACTGCCACTTAGCCAGTGAGTGCAGACAAACCATCGTGACATCTATCGGCTAACGCTCATGCTGTTTCTTGTCATCAGACTTTGAATGGAGCCCTACTTTCCACTCCCAGAGTAATGTTCTGCTAGGAAATTATTTAGGCAAGCAGAAAGTTTCACCTGCCATTTCAGGGGCACCGAATCCCCCCGCTGCACCAGAGGCCTTTGGCAAGTGGAAACAAATGTTTCACAAAATGGCAGGGAGGGGAACACACTAGCGCACTAGCGTTTTACTGATTGCCAATCGTAAAATAAAATCAGTCATGAAAGGGGAGGTACACTGGCCCACCAAAGCCCTGCACATTACATCAAATTTGCCATAGCTTTCTTTTACAGCCTTGTTTATTCCCTTTAATGGCAAGCAGTTATCCGCACAGTATGACTCCATGTAGGTGGTTAAGGCAAAAGAAAAGACTGCATCTGAAAACACAAACCCACAATTCACACGCCAAATAAGCAATGGGATGTAAATCTAACTCCCTGCAATCCTCTTCTGCTGACACACTCAAAGCCTCCATCATTTCTTTTATTATTTGGGGGGTGGATTATGCTGTGGAGCAGCTAGCACATCATTTGCAACAACAACTACACTTTTAAATTGGTCATTGTTCCTTAGCTAAAGACTCTGATGCGCAGGAAGGACAGCAAAGATGGGCTCACACGAACGAAGAGCATCCTGACAGTGCGAGGCTGGCACAAGCTATCCATGCAGCCACAAAGCAACCTTTAAATCAGTCGTAGTGGCTCGCCAATCGCAGGCTCACATCCACACTCATGACAGAGAGACACAAAGCAAAGTGAGCAAATGCCACCACCGGTCAGCATGTGCAAGCTCACAGTGAATAAAATCGATAACAAATTACCTTAATAAAACCAGAGTGGAACAAGTCTGGCTTGTTGGGATATTAGAAAAAATCTGGACAGGCAATGAAGGCTGCGTCATTTCTGTTTAATCCACACGTCAAATATCCAAAAAGCTCAGCTGCTGTTCTGAGGAGGGGACCATCCCAGCAGAAAATGGAGCTAGAGTCCATAATGTGGCAAATTTGGATGTGTTCACACCCACTCGCCCTTTCACACTCGCTCGAGAGCCTTGCGTTCTATGACAGCGTGGTATACCAAAGTTTACTAAGGAGTGATATGTCTCCCTCAGACCCATACAGGAGTGTGGCGGGCTCTATTGATCCGCCAGTGGAGACGAACATGCAAGCGAATAGAGGCAATGTGGGGCTCTGGCACATCAAGAGCAGCTTCAGTTCTTTGAAACCGGACGCACTTCCATTCAAACGAGGCTACAGACTGAAAAAGGTGCTCTCATACTGGTAAACTACTCATAATAGCCGGGCTTAAGATATCAAGCAACGACATCTGAGAAGACAGTCTCCTTCTTTAGGACGCATTCACAGGTAGATTACATTATTTCCACTGAGTGTAGATAGACCTGTATTTCTTTTCAGACTCCCACACAAAATCACACAATTTTATTACTACTTTAACCAAGAATCAAACATCGCCAGCATTTATACATTTTGAATTTCGTGTCATTTTCATCCCCCATTGTTTACTATAACTGACTCACTGTGAGGATGCCATGGCACGTATGTTATATGCAAGATGTCAGAGGGACGTGTGCACAAGAAGAATGGAGAAAGAAACTTGAGTTTTACTAGCTCACACACTCATTCTGAAGCCTTTCAGGATCAGCCAAAACCAGTGGCAGAATATATGACTCCTTCAATTGTGCAAGGACCACTTTGATATGCTAATATGTTCCTTCCAAACAGCTGGAATTTGCACTCACATTAGCCTAATTTTACCTTTTTTTAAATACAAGTACAAGGCAATGGAATCATCATCACAATACTAAAAAACAAAGTATTCAGGGAGCAGCAGCCATGCTTCTTATAAATTCCTTAAATTTCAACACTTTTTTATTGAGAGTATGGATTTGTGGAGAATATGAGAAGATGAACAATAACTTTGCAATTAGGTTTATTTTGTTTCTCATTTGAAAAATTATCTAAGAATATATGAGGCAAAAGGGGGGAAAAAATCCTCTTTTACTCTAACTCTATAACCCGCTATGGACAAGTACGTATACGTGAGAATGTGTTGTGCAGATATATTAAAGACAGACATGAGGGACATCTATGGACAGTACTCCAGGCAGGAATTCGAAGGTCTGTCTCTCGCCTTCTTAAGGTTAGTCCTGAACCCCCCAAAAGAGAAGAAGATGAAGAAGAAAAAAACTGTGGGCATGTGAAGTCTGCTGGAGCTAAATTTAACCCAATCCTCTGATCGATCACTGAAGATTGCTGCTCCGCTCCAGGCAGCCATGCATCAGCGGTGACCGCTGTGTGTTTCTCCAGCAAAAGGAGAGGCACGCACCGCACCGCATGTGCGCGTCTCCCGCCTCCTCTTTAACACATGGTTGACAAGACACGTTCGGAATCGGTGGGCCTAAATAATAAATGCGCAGTAAAAGGATCTAATTTTTACTGCCACTCTGCGCCCACTGGGTTTGAGTTAAGTGTAAGCAAGCCAAATCAGTTCCTATTTTTTATGCTCCCGTCTTTTTATTTTTATTTCACCATTTCATTCCAACGTCACCTTCCACCCTCGGAGCCAACTGCCTCACAGGCTAGCTCTGAGGCAAAACTAATTATTACATCTCTAGTTGAGGCTCGAATTATTTTCTGTCTGTTTCTTTCTTTCGTTTTTTTTTTTTTGGGGACAAATAGCCTAACCCCAATTATAATGGATTAGCCCGTGAATGCTCTCCAGAAACAGGCAGACAACACTTCTCAGGTCACAGCTTCCAGCGTAAATCCCCATTCAAAGCAACAAGACCCATCAGTGGATTTAAAAAACCCTCAGCGGCCAATACCACCAGCAAAACTCCACCTCAACTTTGGAGGCATAAATCCCAATTAAATGACGCTTTACGTGTTCTGGTTCATAGAAATTGCGCTGCCGAGCCCCCCTACCACACACACACGTTCACAAACACACACACACGCACTTTAAATTTGTTTCAATTCAGACGTTCAGACTCGGCAGCCGAACAAATCAATCCACATCTGCTTATGTTTTGATTAAGCACTTTTCAATTAACCACGGCACCCGTCGGTACTCCACTGCAGACTGTGTTGCTCTGGTTTTTTTTTTAATTCATCATTATTATTATTTTAGTCTCGTTAAACTTATGGCGCCTCTATTATAATGCGAATTTCCTAAAACAACTGACTCAGACACAAAATCTGACTCGCCATCTGTCGTTTTCTAAACAAGTTTCGAAACGCAAGTTCAGAAGTGACCGAGGCAGAAGGTAAAAGTTACTATACCTTAGTTTGCAGTTTGGATGTTTCATAAGTTTTGATGGTATTAATGCGCAGAAGGAGGGGGGTAAAATAAAATCTACTCTTACCTTTCTCGAAAAGCAGTGTAGCCACGCGGGGCTTGATTGAAGACAGTGAGTAGGAAACTGTGAGCTGTATAAAAAAGATTCGTTTAAAAAATGTCAGATTGTGGAAAGGCAGTCTGATGTGAACTCCTCTGCAGCGAAGAGAGTGAGTCTGCAGGTCTCAGGCATGCTCGCCTTGTCTGGGACAGAGGCTGGCTTTCAAGCGGCAGGTCTCCTTTTCTGCCCGTACATTCCCCTGCACCGAGCGCACACTTCCATGGCACGCAAGGTGTTGCTCTGAGCTCAGTCCTAACTCATCAGCCACCTCATGCACACCTCTGAGCGGCTCATACAGTCTCGGCTCTCCCTGTGCGTGCGCCCTCACTCCCCGACGCAGCAGCAGCAGCAGCAGCAGCGGTAACAACAAGAGTCAAAGAGAAGCGAAGCTCGGGGACCAAAAAAACAAGGACTTGAGTGACTGAGAGGGACAGACAAGAGTGGGGCTTTTCAGTGTCTGGTGGAGGGGAGAAGACGAAGATCTCTCTCCGCTACTGTAGCCGCCGCCGGTGCTGCTCTCCTGGCTCCCCTGAATGATACTGTGTGGGGACTGGGCAAGTTTCAGCGGCTAGCCTCTGGTAAAGATCCCGCTCACAGTGTTGAGACACTTGGAGGAAGCAGCGCTGAGCGGGCTTCCAGTGAACAGCGCCAGTGCAGTTGATACCAGGCTGCCGACTGCAGGAGCTGTCTGAGCGCAGGTCTACACTAAAACCTGACATGGATTCTAGATCCACCACGGCTCGGAGTCTAGACGCATCACAGACTGTCCTCATCAACTTATCATCATGCCCGGCAGGACTGTGCTCAGCTTATTTTCCTACAGAGGGGCTATTCCACTGCATCATACAGAAAGTAAAGCTTTATTACGAGTGCAGCGCCTTCATTTTTGGCCCCACTTTTTTTCTGCTTAAAGAAGCGACACTGCCTTCCTTTTGGGTATGAGAGGCCCGTATTCTGTCACAGTAGGCAGTCCGGCCTATTCAACCAATGACAGTGGAGTCATTCTACTGTAATACTACCAAGCATCAAAAGAACACGGACGTGCACACAGACCTTTTTCTCCCTCGCTCAAACCAGCCCCATTTGGACAGCACTCTGGCCCATGCAGCAGTGGTCAAGCTGCCGCTGGTGTGTAGAGCCAAGCGTGTGCGGAGCCAAGCAGTTTTTCAAATCAAGAACCTCTTCAGAGTCGTGAATGTATTTTTCCCCCCTTCTTTTTTTTCATCGCTCCTCTTTTCCTTTACATGATTCATGACACCATTCAGCAGTCAATGGATTTCTTTTCAGGCTTCTGGGACTTTGACCCTGGCACTCCTTACTGCATGCAGTATGTTATATTGGTTTTCTACATTATACTCCACTGTGGGTGAAATGCAGATTATTATACTTCATCGTGCACAGCATTTCTTTCTGTAATGAAGCTGAGCTCTGATATATGTTTTTTTCCTATTAAAACAAACAAATATATATATTTATGAAAGTTTGAAAATCTAATTATCGGCACAGCTGTTATTTGGTGTTTTTTATTAGGGCCACTTTTTGGTTTCACAATATCTAAAAATAAACACAGCTGTTTTATGTTTATATTTGAGTCTTGCTAATACTTGGAGCGTGCTGTAATCTGGTTAAGGAATGCCGTTAAACATCAGGTAGAGCGCAGGCACACACCTGGCTTCAATATAAAAAAAGCCCGCTGTCTTTCACCCACTATGGGGAAATGTGAAGTTGAGTCATGCTTGCCAGGTGAAGGTGAACGCAGGAGAGGGGCAGACTTATGTTTTCATAAGCATAATTTTACATAATAATACAGGCCGTTTTTGCAAGGGACAAAAAAAGAGAAAACAGATGTAATAAAAGGTCATCCAGTGACAGGCATCCATATCTGGGAGAGATGTTTATTCATAAGCTGGGACTAAAAACACATGTGGTCTCTCTGGCTGCAACAGCTTAAACTGCCATTTTGCATTTGGAGTCATTTGAATATGTTTCCTCGGATTGTCAACAGAGGGCATTAGACTTGTATTATTATTATTATGAATGTACTCAGTTCACTGAATTGTAAAATGCACAGCACTATAGATTACAAACAGGCAAAGATAGGATTTTTCTGTTTGTTTGTTAATGACAGTCTTGCTGGCGTATGATCCCCAGTCAGTTTCTTGACCAGCGCATAAATTGTTCATGTGCAATTGTTAATGAATAACTGTGATGTAATCATATCCTGCAAAGGTAGCAGACTATTGCACGTAATCACTCACCAAATGGCGCATGATACCTGCTGGCTCTTACTCAACCCAGACACGCCGAGGTGAAAAACAACATCATAATTATCAAAGCCTTTTCAAATATCAAGTATATACTGTTAATCAACCAAAACTGAAAATGTTAATGTGTGTTTGCAGCATAGTAAATAAGTAACTACCGGTTCTTTTCCTGGCCTGGAGGAATAAACTTTCTGAGATAATGGAAAAACCTTTGGAGTCCCTTTGGCACGTGGCAGGAATTTCATTCCCTCCTGGGTTTGAAAACAGGGCAACTCGTAATGTCAGTCCTCATATTTTTAGTCCTTTTGCTGAATGTAAAGTGGGATTAGGGAAGATATTAATATTGAATTATATACTAAATAACAGCACAAAATGTAAGCATTTAAAGTATTCCCCGATCAAATAAGGCAACAGGTTAAGTCGGTCGCTGGGACACTTGTTTGAAATACCTGAGAAATCCCTAATGGAAATCTATTTGACACCGACTGACTTCCACATGGGAATCTTTTCATAAACAACAGCTTTATTAATAACCTCTCCAAAACAAAGAAGAAGCAAGGATCAGAGCTGGAATCATTTCCACGAAGAAAAATTCAGGTTTTGTTGATATGCACCAAAAACAGACAAATTCAGTACAGGATGCAGTTTTTCTCCTTACTGTCCAGTCACGCTTAATGACTTGGTTGACAGAGATGTAGAATGTCTCCCAGGACTCTGACATGTTCTGAAGCTCTCCAACACGCTTACTGCAACGATCACAAGATTGTTTGAAATCTCCAACAGTCGTGTTAACTTTGATCTTGAAGTTTGAACACCGGGTGATGTCGGTTCAGTTAAAATGACTCATCATGAGGAGCTTATCCAGCTTGTAGGTTCCGTAGGGGAAAATGTATAATTAAATAGTAATCTCAAAAATTCCCTGCTTTGGAACACCAGATCAATGAGCTTGCATCTTATGGAAAGTTAGCATTCTTTAGCCATTTTGTTAAGATTCTTAACACTGTTAATCAACAATGATAGAACTATCTACATATAAATACTGCTATATTGTATATAAGGACTGAATAGTTTCAGTTTTTATCTGTTACAATGTATCTCATGGTACATATGTATCACTATTGTATTTAGAATGATGGAACAAATGTAAGTAATCGGGATATTTTGATAAATTGTGGTTTATTACTTTTTGTTCACTGATATGATAAAAAAGAGGACGCACAGCTAGTACAACTGTGAGGTTTTCGCTTCAGTGAAAATGACGTCAGACACTTCAGGCAGACCTAGGTTATCCATGTTGAGAGCCAACATGTCATCCCGTTTCCCATGTGGTTCCTCGATTGCTTCTTAACCTTCAGTTTTCACTTAACAAAGCTTATTGGTTCTTTCCCAAAATATCTGCACATGATTGGCACCTAAGGCACACATGACCAGTCACAAGACCGCTGCTGATTCCAACAAATCCGTGTCCTTTAATGATGATGGACAAAGACTTGGCCAAGCTACATGCTCCCGAGCACGTCTACCCTTGATCATTTATGTTTTCGGTGTTCTTTTTATCTCATTTTATTAGATTTACTTGGGACGGACCCTGATTTACAGTCCTGTGCAAAACACTTTTAAGCATTTTGGATGTTTACATTTTTATTCAATCATGTAGGATCATCAAAGACGTCTCTGATCTGTTCCAAATTCATTCTGCGGCACGACAATGACCCCAAGCATACAGCCGCAGTCGTTAAGTGACAAGAATAATTAGAGGTCTTGCGACAGAGTCCTGATGTCAACATCATGGAGTTAGTCTGGGATTACACGAAGAGACAAAAGACGCTGAGGCAGCCTTAATCCACAGAAGAACTAAAGCGAGTTCTCCAAGATGCTCAGAACAGCCTACCTGCCAAGTGTGTCAGTGTGTGCCTACAGGAAAGGGAGCATGTGTTAAAGGCAGTGGGTGGTCAAAGCAAAATTTGACTTGATTTGATTTCTCTTCTTTTTAACTGCACATCAAGCACGAATTGATAAACACTAACACGCACTAACTGTGAGTGCATTACATCAGAAGTCTCTATCACAGCTTTGTGTGAAGACACCGGGATGTTGAGGTGACAAAAACAAGTTCCAATTAACTTCCTTCTGTAATTACAGCATCATTTAGACTTGCTCGTTTGCTTTTACCCAAATCGTTAGAGTGCGGATAAAAGAATCAGCTTTAGTAAACCAAAAGAGGTTTCCTTCCAATATCCTTTTTCTCACATCTCTTCCAACCACTACAGATGAGAAGTTCAAAGTGAAATTTTGGATACGTGAAATGTGAACTAGTGATGTTTCTTACCCCGATTCGTTTGCATGAATCTGTTCCAAATCAAGTGAAACTCCTCCTGACTCTGTATTCTCTCATCAATTTTGTAAAGCTGGCTTCAGTGGTCTCACTGGATATCAAACTCTTGGAGTAGACTCGTAATCAAAGAAGGCCTCCCTCCACAGTGGAGCCTTGGTTAATATTTATGTAGCCACGGGCAACCGTGTAGCTTGGAGTTTTGACCTCACTTCTGCAGCACCTTGAGGTGTCTCCCTACGTCTGCTTGAACTGAGAGCAGAAGTGGGACTAAGAGGGATTCTCAAAAAACTGAAGTTAGATTGTTTAGCAGCTTTTAAAAAGTGTGCGTTAGAATGTTGCAATATTCGACCTTTTCAAAGGCAGATTTTTAAATTGTCACAGAATGGAAAAGACTCCTGGGAATGAAAACAGGAATGAAGTCAACCAGAACACACAAGCATCCTTTGAATATAATGCAGCAGCCTTCATTAACAGACCTTCTACTAGTGTGACAAATGATAATGTCTCTCTTTGAAATGGTTAATTTTCAAAGAGCTTAAAGCTCTCCACTGAAATTTGATCCTTGCATGTATGGATTCAGCATGACTTTTTTTATGAGGGTCAAACTCACCTTTTAAGATTGCTAATGTGACCTCAGCAGGTGCCATGAAGTTTTAAACAGGGCAATAATATTACTCACCGTGATGTTCCTCAAAGTGCCGTGCGACACTCGGCTTTATTTTGTTTTTACTTTGTGGTTTGGGTTAATTAAAAATGAATGGATTACCATACGTTAATGAAAGCTTGTTTTATGCCTTTTTAATTTGCCTGCTGACAGCTTTTGAGTGTTTTTCTCAAGGCTCATATTTTGTGTTAAGTACATTATCAGTGGGGTATTTACACCACCGTGCAACCGCGCCCGAGTCAATAATTAATAAAAGAGTATGAGTGTTGTTTTAAATCAATACAGTTTTGTTTGTCTTTTGCGACTATTTTTTTTCTTTTCATTAAACAAACCCAAGAAAGGCAGCTTGAGAAATCTCTTAATAGAAGTCAACATGTTTGTGCTGAGAGCTGGCACACCTAGGAGAAACTTATCAAGTCCCCATGAATGATCTCACCATTTTGCTCAAATTTCAGTTATTTAATTACTTTGTGTGTTCAAAAAAAAGAAAGAAATGCTGCTGAAGTTGCCTCCCTCCCCCAGCTCCCCCTTAAAGAGACTTATAATTGACCCAGCAGACAGGAAGCAATTAAAAAGAAGTCTAAAAAGAAGTCAAACACATGAGGGGCTTTGAGATCAAATTTTGACAAAGGGAAAAAGAAAATTCTCATGCAAGCATGTTGGGCTCTGGCTTGCACAACTGTCACATGAGTTGACTTTTAAAAGACCACGTTACATAAACAAATCATTTTAAAGCAAACTGTGTCACGGAGTAAACATTAAGGAATCGTAGCACCCCTTAAACTCTGTCCTGCTATCAGACCGTCTAA